AAACATTGACCTAGGGAGGCTCCATCTGTATTCAAATGTGCCCTCCAGGTCAGTCCCTCTCCTCCCCCAAATAAAACAAAATAAAGTCTCTGGCTTTCTTTATATTCTTAATGAACCTTAATATTTATGAATATTCATCATCCTGTATGTATCCACTAATTACAACCAAGTAACATTATTTTCACGATGCTTCCTCCCTCCTCAGAATGTAATTGGATAGAATGCTCAGTGGATATGAAGACATAAGCCCTCCTTAGCATACTTATAATCAACACTATACATCTTCCATCCCAAACAAAAATTAACACAGTTATGTGACAGTATCGATAGCCTTTTTGTGAAAAGGACTTCTTAGGTGTCAGGAGCAATTCTACATCATTTGGGGGAAAATATCACTTGATTAGGCCTAGTTCTCCTGCCTACAGGCCAGCTATGGAATTCTGAGACTTAACTCCATTTTGGCCTCTGGTCACAGCTAAGACCTCAATGGTCCGGTGATGCTGTGATGCTCCAGGACAAGATTACACCACCTGAAGACATCCTAGGAGGAACAAAATCTTCATCTGCATAGTTCCTCATTGTTACATTTGTTTCTCCCCATGTACTGAACTCTGCCCTGAGTCATTTGTTACCTTCTCAAGGTCGCGTTTTTCTACCTTTCCTGTATAGTAAGTTAATTCACCTTGTGCTATCCTGGCTCACAGGAGCCTAGGACTTACTGCAGAGGTTCTAGCAATGTCCCCTTTCCCTGTTCCCTACATTTAGGACTTTGTTTCTTTCTACCTTTGTTTTTAGAGATAAATGTTATCAATTGTAGAGGTAAATTTGTTGTCTCATGTGGCAATTTTCAAGTTCCCTAAATCATCCTCCAGCATTCCCATCAGGTCCAATATACTCAAGCAAAGATTTATACTTTAGCAGAAAAATAAAGTTTAGACAACAAGCACTAAGGATAATTACAAAGTATTGAGCAAGTATTAGAATAAACTACATGAAATCATCTTTTGTGAGTGTTGAATGCCTTATGTATACTATCATATTTAATCCTCACAGCAACCCTTGTATGTTGGAATTATTATTTTTCTTCTTTCACTAGTGAAGAAAGTAAGGTTATAGACTTAGTAAACTTTGTACTTGACTGCTATGCTATCACAGTATAAACTTATGCTTCTTATCCCTTAAGCATTCTAGAACTCAGAAATGTAAGATTATATTTCAATATGTAAAAGTCAGTTTTCTCCAAAAGTACAGAAACATAACACATATCTATTAGTTCAACAGAAGTCTAGATGCAAGAGAAACACTGAAAACATTATTTTCCAATACAGCTATATTTGGTATCAGGTGAGTTGGTGCTGTCTAGTGGCACCCACATTGCTGTAAATCACTGCAATTTCCATAACAGGAAATGGCAAAGCTATGAATGTTCAACATTTTCATCAAATAAACTCATTGAAGTTCTGTTTAAAATTACATTTTCAGCTGAAGACAAAATCAGGCCTGGCTTGTAAGAGAGGCTAACATTTGGCAAAATGAGAAGCAAGTTTGAAAGCTTAGAAAATAGATAGTTCAAGTGTAGGAAGGATCACAATGCATGTTTTATGATAGCATCGTTCCACATTTGTATTACTAAAGCATTTCAAAACTTTTTCCATTTCATTAATGATTATATAGTCTTGCTACAGTAATCCAACCCAAAACTCATGGGAAGATCACATATTTCATAGTCATTGGAGAGGAAATGTAGAACCACATTTTTTACTAGTTGTAGATTCCAACAGTTATTTGCTGATATTGTTTTTATGAAAATAAGTTACTCAGAGGGACTGAGAGGCAAAGGAGCTTCTGAAGAAGCATGTGGTTAGGTAGGTGTAAGAAAGTTAGTTTAATCCTTTCTTGGCCCTGTGAATAATCAGAACTACCTCTGATTAATCATTGATATGCTGAAAAAATGCTACAAATAAGAGAACTTGGAACTCTATGAAGAGAGAAAGTGCCTTATTTAGTATAGCATCAGTTTTGTAAGACATCATTTCACCAGATTATAAAAATCTCCCACATTTTCTAGGACAGAGTTTTAAAAAGGATACATGACAAGGATTTTAGTTCAGTGGTTCTGCCTAAAACTGTATTCCCAGGAAATCAGTTACTCTAGAATTCATTTTAATCAAGTAAACATATTATAGCTACCATAATGCAAAACATGATACTATCTGTTGGGTATGGAGGTGGGGAACAGGTGTATAAAGATACAGAAGGCATGATCTTCAAGGAGGGATAGTTACTTTATCATCTTAATTCTAAAAGATAATTCTTGTACAGTTTTTCTCTACTTTTTTTTTTTTTTGGTATCAGGGATTGAACTTGGGTCCTTGCACTTGCACAGCCGGCGGTGAAACTACTGAGCTAAATCCCTGGCCCCTCGCACAGTTTTTCGACAACAGAGGTCAGCAAACTTCCCATAGCCTGAGCCTTGCCTGCCAACTGCATTTGTTTTAAAATTTTATTAGGCTACAGCCATAGTCATTCACGCAGTCTATGGCTGCCTTTGGATACTACTTTACTGTAGGATTGAGTAGTACAAAGGAAACTGTTTGGCTCACAGAGTCTGGAATTTTACTATCAGGCCCTCTTAAGAAAAATTTGCAAACCCTGGGTCTAGAGAAAAGAAAAATTAGAAGTCTCTTTTTTCCTTTACACATTATATGAAATACTTCCTTTTCTTTACTTACCAATTAAATACTAATGGAAAAATTCTTCTAATAGAGAAAGCACTGTGCTAGGGATTCAGCTGAAGGTCATAATAAGAAAAATGTTTTTAAATCCTTGGCAATTTAAACCCTTTACACTAACATTGGTAGTGCAAAAAAGAATAGGGTAGGTGGAATAAAGGTGGCCCCGTAAACTTCATTGGTAGTTAGAGGAAAGAAGGATGCTTAGGAATCTTTTTGAAAAGAGGCTTGTAATGGCAAGGTACAGGGAGATGTTTTATCCACAGCTTAGTTTGGAAGAGGATCTTTGTTAGCATTTCAGTTGTAGGACTCTGACTGTATTGTTGTTGACAAACAAGTAACTGTTGAAATAGCAGAACCACATTGGCAACTAGCTTGTCAGGTTGTTGCTGTTGTAAGAAAGCAGTGAAACATACAGCATGGCCACATCACCAGCAGATAGAAAGGTTAGCAGGAAAGGAACAAGTCAAGTTCTCATTCAGTCCAAGGCTAGAGCTGAGTTGCTGTTTATTCCTGTGTCAGTCACCAGGACAACAGTGATCAAATTTCTAGAAACCTGTGAGATTTTGAGTAGTAAGAACATGCACAATTATAAGAGCATAATATAATATAAAAATACAATAATATAATATTACATTAAGCTGACCAAGCTAATTGAACAAAGCCTGATCTAACAGTTTATAGTAAGAATTCAATTCCAAACTGAATCTAACACATTTTCATTGACTCTCTGTAGACTAAAGAAACATTTCATGGCCTCTTTTCCACCCAGCCTAATTGAGTTTCTGAAGGACATACAGTCTTTCTTGCTGTCCCAGCTGTTTCAAATAGAACAGAATGTCCAAAAGTCAGCCAGTTACACAGCATTGCTAATCTGAATTCACAGAGGAGCACCATGTTGTGCAAAAAAATCCTCATTTGTTACCTTTACACATACTAAATATATGGTTTTAATTAACATTAGAATTTTTTAGTAAAATCACAGAAGACTTATTTTTTCCCATTCTTAACTCCCCCTGAAAGGAATATCATCATTTTTAATTTCTAGCTGATATATAACTGCTTTTTAAAGAAGCAGATGTGCAGCATAAGATGAGGCAGGCAAGGAAGTGTTGATAATGGCTTTCAGCTGCCAAAGCCCTTTGTCATATTTGTTCAATGTAAGCATGTGTGGGATATAAGTACGTATTTTGCTCCTGGAATTCATTTCTCCCTCATTGAATCTCTCTGTGATTTGTTTCTGCCTTGCTCACAAAATTCATGACTGTTAGCCCTTTCTCTGGAGAGTCAGCTCTTTCTGACTTGTCTTCTCTAACCATAATTTCTAAAGCACACTGTGCATAACTCCTGGTGCAACTCAAGATTGTAGGTGATGCATAAATGTGTTTATTTTAATGACTACCAAAGTATATCACTAGTATATTATTCGTGTG